TTATTATTAATTATCTAAATTATCTATAAAATATCTGATAGTATGATGTGCATATGTCTAATGATCTTTTTGACCGCCAAATGTTTATTCTTTAAGTTTTGTGTTAGATTTCCGAAAACGCTAGACCTGCCTTTCCAAAAGTTTAATCAATTCTTCACCATGTCAATACAAGTAAAATGATTTTTGAATTATTAAAATCGGATGCTCGGTTCTCTCAAAAGCTCGATTTGTATTTTCTGCACTCTTTGTTTCGTATCTCCGTAACGGCTGGACCTGCCTTTGCCAAAACTAATCAGCACATCTCCCTATGAATAGGAATCGAATGTTTCTTGAACCATTCAAATCGGTTGGACGAAAAATTGTATCCATACACATACACACACAAATCCATTTTTTCTGAGATATGCCAAAATGTTCAGAAACCTCTGAAACGTGAAGGTATGCAAAAATTTTCATTTTATATTTTTGGACGATTACAAAACTTACTCTACGGGAAGTTAATAAATATTTTTGAATTTTTTGTTTGAAAATTTTGAAATTTGTTTTCAAATGTTTGGGATCCTATATGTCGGAATAGTCATACTGTCGAAAACATTTAGTAAAGAAAGAAGAAAAATTTAATATAGAACGAATGTCAGTCATATATGTGTGACATATAAAATAGTGTTGACAAAAGTTTTTTCGATTCATTAAAGGACCGATTCTGCCGCATAATAGACCAATGTTATGGCAAGGCCATGTTATGAAAAACTTTTCATACAAAATATTCACAAAGGCCATGCAGTCAGGCGTAATTCTCAGGTTGTCAGATAGAAAATTTAATCTAGAAACCGCACAAATGTCGCAAAAAACTATGTTAGATAACAGGGTCTTTCTGACCCAGCTTCATAACATACGAGTGACGTTGCAGTTTATGCGTAAAACGCCTGAAGGCACAGCAAATGCATGACATTTTGACAGTATTCAGTATGATTCAGTAGCATATTGTATGTAAGTTATAGCGTACATGGCCTCTCCATAACATTTATCTGTTATGCAGCGCCTAAGTTCCCTGGATACATTTTCAAGTAAATTATCTAGCATGGCTCAAGTGAAAATGTTTCTGATATCGTGGCGATTTACCTGATTAATCCAATTTTTTCTCCAGTAGTTCTCAATCTTTTATCCATTTTCCCACGTTTTCACAGCCTTTGTACAGTATTCTCTCCCATATCGAACGCCTGCGCACTTTCATGAATTCGTTTCTTATCGAATATTGTGTATTTGGAGCAGCACACCATATACGATATATAATATGTAGTTTTACTTTTCAGTTCTCTCCGTACACTTCGTGTTCTGTTGATAAATTCTCAGTTTTCGAATACCTGTTGAATGATTGTGCCTAAAAACGAGAATTTAAATTTTTCACATTTTTTTCTAATAAGTAATTGAGATTTTAGAGATTTAGTATGTTACCTCCACCAGGAACAGTTCGGTTGATGCATTTGCGGTGACAACAGTGTTTTGTTGATTGTGTAAAAATTAATTATAAATTTTAAGTGATGATAAGTAATATATGCTAAATACATAATATAAATATAAAATTAATATAAAAATTATAAGTAAATCAATTTATCTCTAGAACATTAACAATCCTCATTTCATTTCGAATTCAATTTCAAAAAAATTGTTTAGTTGCCTTAATTTGCACAAATTGAAAAAGTGCTCCCGTACAGTCACAGTCTAAACGCACTTGCAAATATTCTGTGCGACATTTTCACTTATACTGTGCTTAGCTTGGCGGCATTTTCACATTTTTCAATAGTTTTCACAAAATTGGAAAAGTGCTCCAGTACTTAAACAGTCTAAACGCACTTGGGTAAACATTTGTACCAGAGTGGCGCTTAGACTGTGCTTAGCCTGAGTAATTTTTTGAATTTTCAATCCAAAATTACAAAAATTTATATGGAAAATAGAAAAAGATGTAATATTTTTTATCCTCAAAGCAATTGTTTTGTCAATATAAGCAGAAAGTTTTTTAGATCATTCAAATCGGATAATCCGTTCTGTCTCCGTAACGGTTAGACCTGCCTTGCCAAACCTAAGCTTTTAAAACCTAAGTTTTTTAACCAATGTGTGTATGTGTGTTTATATTTTATTTATAAACTCTGCATTAAAATTATGCGAGCGTGAAAATTGTGCTAGAAATATGAGAGTAGAAATTCTCCAAGCAATTACTCTTCAAATTTTATTATTTCAGTTCGATAATAAAAGTCGAAGTGATAAAACATTTTAGTGTGATTTTGTACTGGAATTTATTTTGAAACATTTCTAAATATCTAATTTTATAATAAACACTCAATAGTTAGTTTGATACCTGATAATTAATTACAAATATAATTAAAACTAGTGGTGTATGACATCGTGCCTTTAGGCAAATTGCTGGAACTTCCCGTACCGTAATGAAATATTCAAACATTTTAAACGCTTTCAAATATATTATTACAAATACTGTAATTGTTTTATTATTTTCGCTATCATGTTATATCTGAGCAAATCAAATGTAAATCATGAATCAAATTATCTCAAGAACATTAATAATCGTCATTTCATTTCGAATTCAATTTCAAAAAAAAATAGTTGCTATATATATATATATAATATATATATATACATATATATTATATTATATATATATTTATATATCTATATATATATATTATGTTCTCTCGTATATATATATATGTTTTATTACAAATCGATAAACCTGCGGCAGTTTGCCATATATAGCTGGAAATCTTTATCAAATATTGTTCCAAAATATTTCACAATTTAACTTTTATATAATGAGTCACACGAATGTTTAATTAACTAAAATCTCAATTCTTCGAACAGTTTTGTTTATAATATTTAAACAGCACATTTAAACGTGATTGTGTTTATAATTACTTTACCATAATTACTTTAGTCGCAATAACAGAAATTATATTTCAGTTTATATAATTCATAGAAATATGAGATAAGGTCCTTCGATTTTAACTCCGCTTGATTGTGTTTTATTTATTTTATTAACTTCCCGTAGTGTAAGTTATTGTAATCGTCCAAAAATTTAAATTGAAAATTTTTGCATTTCTCGACGTTTTGAAGGTTTCTGAACATTTTGGCATACCTCAGAAAAAAATGGATGTGTGTGTGTGTGTTTTGTACACACACGGATCAACCGATTTGAATGATTCAAAAAACATTCGATTTCTATTGACAGGAAGATGTGCTTATTAGTTTTTGGCAAAGGCAAGTCCAGCGGTTACGGAGATAAAGAGCAAAGAGTGCAGAAAATAGAAATCGAGTTTTTGAGAGAACGGGAGCATCCGCTTTGAATGATCTAAAAAACATTCAAGTGGTTGTTAGTTTTTGGCAAAGACAGGTCCCGCCATTTCGAAGATACAGAGCTAAATGTGCAAAAAATGGCAGTTTTTGAGTGCACTAGGCGTCCGATTTGAATGGTCTAAAAAACTTTCTGCTTCTTATTTCATTTACCATACAATATTTTTGTAATTTTGGATTAATAAATTCAAAAAAATTCCCGGGCTAAGCACAGTCTAAGCGCCACTCTGGTACAAATGTTACCCAAGTGCGTTTAGACTGTTTATGTACTAGAGCGCTTTTCCCAATTTTGTGTGAAAACTATTGAAAAATGTGAAAAAGCCGCCAAGCTAAGCACAGTATAAGTGAAAATGTCGCACAGAATTATTTGCAAATGCGTTTAGACTGTGGCTGTATAGAAGCACTTTTTCAATTTTGTGCAAATAGGCAACTATTTTTTTGAAATTAAATTCGAAATGAAATGACGATTGTTAAGTTTTGGAGATAAATTGATTTATTCATGATTTACATTTGATTTGCTCAGATATAACAAGATTGCAAGAATAATGAAAGTTACAGTATTTGTAATAATATATTTGAAAACATTAAATATTCCTCGATCATTTGGTTACGGTACGGGAAGTTCTAGCAATTTGCCTTTAGGCACGATGCCATACACAACACTAGTTTATATTCTTAATCGGATAACAAATACTGGCAGCTTTTGCGGAGAACATTCTCTTATGATTAAACATTACATACAAATTTGTTTAAATAAAATTATACTAAAAACTTTAAAGATAATTAATTTTTTTGCAATACAAATTTGTAGGTAGAATCTACAAATAGCATTAAATCCTGACTTCAATCTACTATTTAGATCCTAATTTTAATGTGACTGTCGTGCTCGCTGATTTACCAAAAACTAAGTTTACCGACTGAAAAACTTTTTAAAATTATATGGTGATCATGTTAAGTGACAGTGACAATAATGTTGGTTTCACCAAGTCACCAGTTGGTGCTCGGAGGACCAAAACAGACATTCATTTACCAGATTGTGCCATCACACGTCAAAGAAACGGAGGCTCTTTTAGGTCGAAAACCCTTGAAAGGTTAAAAATTAGGACCAGAACTATATAAACAACTTGCTTCAAATCTAAATCACAACACTTCCAATTCACATAACTAATATATCCTTTATCTTTACCTAGGAGTTCTCAGTCGCAGCAACCTGCTTCAGTACAGCCTCCAGCTCGGACGGCCCGTCTCCTGCAAAGGGCGCGCGCCAGTCCTCCACCAGGGGTCAGAAGAACCCCGATATTCAGACCACCGCCGCACCAGGGATCACCAACCCACCAGACCACAAATGGATGTCCTCCAACCGATATGGAGGACGGCGGAGCCTGGATTGACAGGAGTACACATAACGCCACCATCATGCAGGACGTTGTTGGCATCAAGACAATGCTGCTCAAGCTGAAGAGGGTTTTACATGAGGTGAGGATAAGTGGATTTATGAATAGGTTTTTTATTATAATAATTACATTTTTTTTTCTAGACTGAGACCATGAATCCCTTCGATCGTCATTTAAATTCTCCAAGGCATTCGGCTGATAGTGGTATGGGAGCCTCCAGTGCCTCCAATGGAGATTCCTTGGATGGCGGACCTGAAGAGACAGGTTGTTTTTCTGCAGGTACTTGGCATTTTGAATTTGCATTTTGTAATTGATATAATAGTAATTTCAGACAGTTTTGTAATGCAAATGGAGTCAATGATTTTCACAAATTTTGGTTGTTATATAACATTAGAGTGGTCCTTAACATATGGACATTTTCGAATTTCCTTGCTCCCAAGGGCTCAAATGCTTCCAAATAAATAAAGTAAAATCCTCTAAAATTTCAGCTCTTAACAATAACATTTATATAGTCCGCAATTCAATTAAAAGTTTTGTATATTATTATTAAGTAAATTCTTGCGCCATGTGATCGCATTTGTGAACACAAATATTATGACACTTAAAAATATTATAATATCACTTAACTTCTAATTAAATCCATGTAGTTTGTTCAACAAAATATTTAATAAAATTCATTTTTTGCAGCAAATATTTATTACTCAAATTATCAGTAAAAATTGCCATTGAAATTACAAGTCTGCCAACCACAGATGGAGCAAGGATTTACTTAATGACATATGTTAATAATGAATATGCGAAACTTTTAATTAAATTGCGGACTATCTAAATGTTAATATTTGGAGCTAAAACTTTCAGAGATTTTTTTTGTCGATTTGGAAGCGTTTGAGCACTTGGGAGCATAGAAATTCGAAAATGTCCATACTAAGGACCACCCTAATGTAACATATATTATTTTTGATTGTAGAACGCGTTAAATTCATTTTTGGATTGCGAAACAAGAAAATTTGGTCCTTATATTTTGTATATTTTTTTTTTATAATGGAACAAGGAGTATTCCTAATTTGAATTTTTCTTAAGTCTTTTACATCATGTGGCTATTCTTTCTCCAATTCATTAAAAATACATAAATGAAATTTTATTAAAATTTAAATCGATTTTTCTTTGTGTATTATTTCTTTTTAAGTCTTATTAGTTAACTTAGATTTTTTATCAGATCTTAATTTGATGAATAGTGATAATTACGTAACTGTCTGATGTTCCTGGTATTTGTAAGTTTTATGTTAAGTAGATTTTTTTTATATATTTTTGGGGAAATTCTACCTTATAACATAGCGTTGTCATGTCAACACTATTTCATGCTTGTTTATTGATAGTGAAAACTACAAAAATGTCTATCTATTTGCTGTGCGATCAGGCGTATTTCACATATAAACAAGCAAGGAAGAATGTTATGATAACTGCATCATCGAATATTCTTTGCCATGACAACGTTATGTTATGATGCAGAATAGCCTCATTAGCCTAGTTTAGTAATGTAGTTTTATTTAATTAATTAGGATTTTTTTAATAAATTTGTCATTTTTTTAAATTCGTATCCAGGAAGGAGATGTATTGACAGCTCGATTTCGACTTGATTGCGAACCGATAAACAAAATGAAAATTTATGGTTTATTATAACTGTAATTATTCAACAGGTACCAGGATGAGGAATTTGGATTTATGAGTGGTTTTGCAATTTTTTGCCAAGGAGAATGTCTATAACTTTATACGCTAAAACATGTTTTGTTAATATAATATTAATTGCATGGAGTTGGATTATAAAAATGTTTGAGAAGCATGAGTATTAACATAAAATTTGGTCCAATTTAAAATTATGCCAAAAAGTTTTTTATAATTAAGTGGCCAATTTTGTTGTAACATGGACGATAACAAAGCGTTGTTATGGCAACGCTATTTTATCCTTCTTTCTTGGAACATTGTTTATATGTAAAATACGCTTGATCGTACAGCCAATAGACATTTACCATTTACTACCAAGAAAGAAGAAAAAGATAAAGATAGCGTTGCCATAACAACGCTATGTTATCGCAAAATTGTCCCCTAAATGTTATTGCAGGCTTAAATTAGGACTTTAATGTTTCAAAATCAAATGGCTTGTTAGGAAAATCCATATTGTCCTCTTGTTTTATATTTATTACCTATAATAACTTTCTTCTTATATTTTTTTGACTAACCTAAAGAGTGTAAAATTAGATTTTTTTAAGTACTTAATTATTTAATTTTCATTTTTTCAGACCCAATTGGAAGACAAAGAACGAACCGTGCAACTGCTGCAGCTGCAGATGACCAAGTACTCACAAAATAGAACCAATGGGTTGCAAGGTAACCAAAATCAGAACCAGGTTCTGTCCAATTTACCTATTAATGGCGTTTCTGAAGATAAAGCAGTGAATGCTGCCACACAAACCGAAAGGGTAAGAAATATATAATATATATATATATATATATATATATATATATATATATATATATAGTTCCATGAAAAATCACTGTTCATAGCCCATTCTTGTCTTATCACTCATGTCTTAACAGTATCATTTTTTGGAACGTGATGCTGTTCTTGAGTCATTTGCAATAAAGATAATTTTAACTTTATAGAATTCTTCTAAATTATCCTTGACCAAAAAATCTTCACATCAAAAATGTATGATTTCCTTGAATGTTAATATTCTGTTCTGGGTGTATTTCTATTATCACATACGAAATAAGAATCGTATCCTGAAGTTTTTCTGATTTTATGAAACTGTTTTTTTTTTTTTTACCGTATTAAATTTGCATTTTTTTTAAATAAGACCAAAAATATTGAACTTTTAGTTGAGACCAATGTCTACTGGCCCGACTACATATCAACAACTAGGAGAAGCGAATGGATTATTGAGGTAATTTCAGTACAAAAAAAATTAGTTTGGTGGTATTAACAATTTGTGTAGATTGTAGATGTATTTAACATTTAATTTACTAACCCCTAAAAATCTAACACAATCCTTTCTGTATGTAGACTTCGAAGGAAAGTGAAATGACCTGGTAACGAATGAAATAAATGACATTCAAACATTTTTGTCAAAAGTACTAACAATAAGTTCAACTAAACCTGCGTTTTAAAAAATAAATAACGATTTTTTATAACAATATTTAATTACACAATTTTGCATCAACCAATGAGTTTTCAACTTTAACATGATAATTAATATCAACAATTTTAATTATTCAATTGTTACTAACAAAATGCGTTTTTGACTAAATTTTTACTTATTAACCTTATATTTTTTTCAAAATTTGAGTTTTTTTTATTTTTCCCTAGGTACTGCGATCGCTACAATCAGTTGTTGTGTAGTATATTTTTCAAAAATTACGATTTTAAACATTTTTGGATCAGTTTTTCCCAAAATTTGAAAACAGTTTTTAGAGGACATTGGATATTTTAATAATCAGTTATTTAGATTTTATTTTAACGTTAAATTTGTTATGTTATTTATACTACTATGGTTTGTTGTGGGGTTATAAATTACAAAAAATTAAACATGTTATTAATAAATTAAACAAAAATACAAAAAAATAAAAACATGTTGCATAACAAAATTTCTGTTAGTATTTCTTCTTAATTTTGGAATAACGAGATACAAGGACCAATTTTGCGGTAAAATAGACGATAACATTGCGTTGTTATGGCAACTGGAAAGAATGTTGTCGTAACTGCATCAATAACTAGTGGTGTATGGCATCGTGCCTTAAAGCAAATTGCTGGAACTTCCCGTACCGTAATGAAATATTCGAGAAATTTTAGACGTTTTCAAATATATTATTACAAATACTGTAACTTACATTATTTTTGCTATCTTGTTTTATATCTGAGCAAATCAAATATAAATCATAAATCAATTTATTCTCTCGTAAACATTAACAATCGTCATTTCATTTCGAATTCAATTTCAAAAAAAAAAAAAAATAGTTGCCTCTAATTTACACAAAATTGAAAAAGTGCTCCTATAGTCACAGTATAAACGCATTTGCGAATAATTCTATGCGACATTTTCACTTATACCTTTCTCACCTTGGCGGCATTTTCACATTTTTTAATAGTTTTCACAAAATTGGAAAAGTGCTCCTACATAAACAGTCTAAACGCACTTGGATAAACATTTGTGAAAAACAACCAGAGTGGGGCTTGGGCTGTGCTTAGCCTGTGTATTTTTTTAAATTTTTTTTAAATCCAAAATTACATAATTATTTTATGGAAAATAAAAAAAGATGTAATAATTTTTTATCCTCAAAAGCAATTGTTTTGTCCATACGAACAGAAAGTTTTTTAGATCATTCAAATCGGACGATACTCCGTTCTCTCAAAAACTCGATTTGTATTTTCTGCACTCTTTGCTCTGTATCTCCGTAACGGCTGGGCCTGCCTTTGCCAAAAACTAATCAGCACATCTCCCTAGCAATAGGGATCAAATGGTAAATGAATCATTTAAATCGGTTGATCCGTGCGCCCGAAAACGTGGACGAAATATTGTATTCATACATACATACACACACACATCCGTTTAGTTTCTGAGGCATGCCAATAAAATGTTCAGAAACCTTCAAAACGTCGAGAAATGCAAAAATTTTCATTTTCGATTTTCGGCCCATTACTATAACTACCCTACGGGAAGTTAATAACTTACGGTACAATGCGCTTGATAGTACAGTAAATAGATAGACATTTTTACAGTTTTTAGTACCAAGAAAGAAGTATAAGAGTTGCCATAACAACGCTTTGTTATCGTCTATTTTATCGCAGATTTGGCCCCATAGCTTTAGGATAGAAAAGTCATGACTACGACTATTCTGTTGTATTAAACAAAATGTGCCATCAATTTTATGTTTTACAACTATAACATTTGCTCTTAAAAATATATACCAATTAAATAAAAATATAAACAATCTACAAACTCAAATTTTGTTCAATAATTTTTTTTACTACTTTTATTCTAAATCGACTCCAATATAATTTTTACGCCGCATTTTTCTTCACCTCGGATTTGGACTTTTTGAATCATTGGTGTCCACGATGTGATTTTCGATGGGTTCACATTTGTCACAGAGTGCGAATTGGCCAGGTAGATTTGTGCGACTGTTTGCTGGCCGTGTGCCTGTTGTGTGCCATCAATGTTATGTGCTTTTTGCAGATCATGCATGCCTGCTCTTATTGTCAGAAGGCTGTAGTTAGTTATAATAATACAGAATAATTTATTTTGTAACTAAAATGCATTTTAAAGTACATTTTTTTAATGATTTAGATGGTATTGTTTTTTACGTTGAAAATGCACCTCAATGTTGTAACATAAATTTTAACTTACTATCTAATATCTGTGTGGGGGGCACCTTTGACATCAAGATTTGTGACGCATAAATTGACATAAAAATATATTAACACGTTGACCGCCATGATAATATCGAAATATTTCACATGGATCATTGTAACTTTACTACATAATTTAGTTAAAAATGTAAATTTTCATATCTTTCTACCAAATTGCATATGTCAGACATATATGCTTGACGTAATTCGTCTAGGAATTTCAAGCATCCCATATTAAAACTTTTTTCCTTTTACCAAATATCAGAGAACGTATTAGCGTCAGACATATATGACTGACATAGCGACCAAGCTGTAAAAACGGGTTTTCCAAAGCTTTTTTGCCATATTCCTGGTAAAACACTATTTTTCATATAACATAGTCCCGTATTAAAACTTTATTCTCCTTCTACCAAATTGCGTTTGTCGGACATATATATCTGACAAATCTCATGTGAAACTTTTTAGCGTTTGATATGACTGACAAAGCGATTAAGGTGTTAATGTTGTTTTTTTTCGTTTTTCGCCAAAATTCTTGGAAAAACACAATTTTTTATATAACGTTGTCCCGTATTAAAACTCTTTTCTTCTATTACTAAATTGTTTATGTCAGATATATATATA